TGAGGGAGATCCTCTGTGTTGAAGGAACAGTGCTACATCTTTATTATGGTGATGGCTACTCAAATCTACACATAGGAGATTATTTCATAGAACTATGCACCAAAAAAGTGCATGTGAAAACATGTGTAAAACCTAACAAGGTCTGCACCTGAGTTAATAGTATTATGCCTACATCAGTTTCCTGTCTTTGACAATGAACCAGGGTTATGTACAATATTGTCATTGGGGGAAGCTGGGTGATGAGTACATGGGAACTCAGTATTTTGTTCTTTTGCAACTTTTTACTTTTTTTTTTTAAGACAGTGTCTCACTTTGCTGCCCAGGCTGGAGTACATTGGTGCTATCCCAGCCTCTCCCGGCCTCAAGTGATCCTGCTGCCTCAGCTTCCCCAATTACTGGGACTACAGGCACCCTCTGCCATATGCGGCTTATTATTGTTGTTGTTGTTATTTTGAGACCAAGTCTCGTTTTTGTTGCCCAGGCTGGAGTGCAATGGCGCGATCTCCGCTCACTGCAACCTCCACCTCCAGGATTCAAGCAATTCTCCAGCCTCAACCTCCTGAGCAGCTAGGATTACAGGCATCCACCACCATGCCTGGCTAATTTTTTTGTATTTTTAATAGAGACGGGGTTTCACCATGTTGGTCTTGAATCCCTGACCTCAGGTGATCTGCCCACCTCAGCCTCTCCAAGTGTTGGGATTACAGGTGTGGACCACTGCATGGGGCTAATTATTTTATCTTTTTGTAGAGACAGCATCTTATTTGGCTGTCCAGGCTGGTTTCAGACTCTTGGCCTCAAGGGATCCTCCCACCTAAGCCTCCCAAAGGTCTGGGATTACAGGTGTGAGCCCCCAAACACAGCCACGACTCCCTCTTATTCTCAAACTATTGAACTACTTAAAAATACAGACTTATTTTCAAATAATACTGCAGTACCCTGCCCCCTTTTACTAACTCCCCCCATGCTCAGAGGCAAAATTCTTTCCTCATCTGATATTTATCGGCATATCACCAAGTATCGCACTGATGTTGACACTTGTGTTTAGGCAATATCTATACATTTCCCACTATAGAGAATTAGGATATATCTCTTTTCTCCCCCACATAAGTGCCTCCCATTTTATCTCTCCATCCTTCAAGTATAATAATCATATTTTGTCTAGATTAATATTCAATGTTTAAAATGTAAGTACATGTACTAATCACAGTAAAATCAAGCATTAAATTTGATTACTTTTCCTTCTCTGCATAATGAGTTCTTATCTTCAGAATTAAAAACTGATTGAGTCTTATTCTTTTTCTTGATTTTCTGTGTATTCAGCTCACATTTATCCTGAAACTCTCTGCTAGTGGTCTGAATGTCCTCAAGAAACATTCATCCCACATCACATTAATTAGGAAAGTTTTTGTTTCCTGGGGAAGTCTTTGCCGGAATCTTCTCCATGCCTTGTGCTCTGGTGCTATTCAGGGACCTCTCTTTGTCATCAACCTGGGATTCCTTCCACATCACTTACATCTGGGATCTGTTCCCCTTGGCTCATGTCCTTCCAGCTTCACTTCGTGGTTTGATGGGACACATGCTCATGTCAGTTCCCAAGCATGAGTGTAAGGAGTAAATGTTCTTAGAAGGAACATATGTGGAGACACTGAGCTCATAGGGTGGATACAGAATTCTAGGTTGGAAATCATCTTCCTTTACGATATTTAAGACATTTTTTATTATCTTCTAGTTTGCAGAGTGGCTGTTATGAATTCTGAATTCATTCTGATGCTTTTTTCTCTCTGGCGGATTGTAGAATTCCCTTCTATGTACCCCATCTTCCAAAATGTATTGATCACGTGACATGGTGTGGGTCTATTCTCAGTCGTTGTGCTGATCACATAGTGGGCTCTTGCAATCTGAGAGCCCACATCCTTTCATTTGGAGATATTTTCTTGAATTACTTCATTAATGATTCCTCCTCTTTATCACATATTGAACCTCAAAGTCATCCTCACACTTTTTTTCTCCTATCTTCCACTTCTTTGTCTTTTCTCTGTTACTTAGGAAATTTCCTCAACTTTATCCACCAACCATTCAACCCACTTTCCATTTTTGCTGTATTTTAAATCTCCAAGGGCTCATTTTGTCCCTGCTGGGTGCTCTTTGTTAGGCTGTTACAGTCATTTTTGCCTCATTCTTGCCTTGGTCTTTCTAGTGGCCAACCCTATGCTGAAGCTACAAAGGGTTGCCAGCCGCCAGCCACACGTCCTTAGCACACAAGAAGATGTCACTATTCCCAGGATTTTGGGAGCTATATGCCAGGAAACAAGGATGAGTACCAGATCTGTATTTCAGCACATCACGGTCTTTATATCACATAGAGACCTCTCTTAGTGCCTAACAATGCCTGTTTGCTCGTTCATTTAAAGGAGAGGGGATTAAAAGGCCATGAGGGGCTCAGAGCCCCTCAACAGCACTTGCTGACTTCAGGCTTCACTGCAGGACATTTGGCTGGCTGTTTGGAGAGGCCACAATGTCACTGCCTCTGGCATTTTGGTCTTAGGATCACAGCACTCTCTGGAATCATGTGTTTCTCCTGGAGGGTGAAGATCCAGTCTAGGGGAACCAGCCTGGGAGTCTCAACGTTCAGCACACATGGGGTTGTGGGGTCCCTCTGTATTCAGTGCAGCATCCCCAATTCCCCACTCGCCCTGATAACCCATACCCGATATGGGGTCCTGGCCTCACTCTGGGCATAAAAAGGGAAGTTTACTTGCATCTGGCTGCTTCCTAAACAGACTTGTAGCCAACTCTCTTTATTTCAGTCCTCGTTCACTTCGATCCTGTGACTGTTATCACCAGTTCCTGAGTCTGGGGGATTCTTTGGTAGAAGCTGTTTTGGTTATTGGCTCTGCTCACTGACCACTTGCAGCTCCATTTTGAAGTTCTGCTGGCTCGTTTTTTCCAGCTTCCCACATCTGTTGCTGTGGCTGCATTTCCTCTCCCGGTCATGAGTTTATGCCTTTTTATTATTGTTATTATGATTATTACCATTACTAGTGTTAGTATTGAGATGGAGCCTTCCCAGGCTGGAGTGCAGTGGCACAATCTCAGTTTGCTGCAACCTCCACCTCCCAGGCTCAAGCAATCATCTTGCCTTAGCCTCCCGAGTAGCTGAAGTTACAGGCATGCACCACCACGCCTGGCTACATTTTGTATTTTTCAGAGAGACCGGTTTCACCATATTGGCCAAACTAATCTCAAACTCCTGAGCTCAAGTAATCTGCCTGCCTCAGCTTCCCAAAGTACTGGCATTGGCCAGGCTCGGTGGTTCACGCCTGTAATCCCAGCACTTTGGGAGGCTGAGGCAGGTAGATCACGAGGTCAGGGGATCGAGACCATCCTGGCCAACACAGAGAAACCCCGTCTCTACTAAAATACAAAAATTAGCCAGACGTGGTCGCATGTGCCTGTAGTCCCAGCCACTCAGGAGGCTGAGGCAAGAGAGTCGCTTGAATTGAAGAGGCGGAGGTTGCAGTGAGTCAAGGTCACACCACTGCACTCCAGCCTGGCGACAGAGCAAGGCCACATCGAAAGAAAGAAAAGAAAAGAAAAGAAAGAGAGAGAGAGAGAGAGGGAAAGAAAGAAAGAGAAAGAAAGAAAGAAGAAAGAAAAAAAGAAAGAAGGAAAGAAAGAAAGAAAGAAAGAAAGAAAGAAAGAAAGAAAGAAAGAAAGAAAGAAAGAAAGAGAGAGAAGAAGGAAGGAAGACAGGAAGGAAGGATGGAAGGAAGGAAGGAAGGGAAGGAGGAGGAAGGAAGGAAGGAAGGAAGAGAGGGAGAGAAAGAGAGAGAGGAGGGAGGCAGGGGGAGAGAGAGAGAGAGAGAGAGAAAGAGAGTAAGAGAAAGAAAGAAAGAAAGAAAGAAAGAAAGAAAGAAAGAAAGAAAGAAAGAAAGTAAGTAAGTTAGTTAGTTCTGGGATTATAGGCGTGAGCCCCTGTGCCCAGCCGGCTTATGCCTTTTGAAACAGATTCTTTCCTCTCCTGCAAGTGGGATTGAGGAAGATGGTGTCAGCAGATGTTTGTGCTCAAGCTGCCATTGTCTCATCTGTTTATTGATAAGGAAACAGACCGGCTAAGTGGCGTGCTCAAAACAGCGGCAGCTTCGGGAGGAGCTCTCTGCCTTTTCGTTTCTGTGTTTTTTGGTTGGGTCCCTGACTTAATTTTTCTTAGTGTGTACCAGGCAAGTTACATTAAGCAGGCTGGGGACTTCCCTGGAGTGATGGAACAGTCACTGACATTTATTCAGTGTGTATTGTATGCCTGGCACTGTTCTTGTTCTAATCTCTTTCCATCTATTTAAGTATTACAACAGCTTTATAATGGAAGCTGCTGTGATCGTTCTGTTTCTTGCAGAGGAGGGAGGCAAGGCGTGGAGAAGTTAGCCTTGCCTAAATTCGCACAGCTAGAAAGTGGTGGATGTGGGGTGTGAACCCAGGCCTGGCTTTCTTAGTGCTGGTGACATGGTGGGCCCAGTGACTGTGTGTGGTGGGGCTATCAAGTGGACCGTAGGCTGTTTAGCTGCGTTTCTTCTTTCTCCCCACTTCCCTGCTGAGTAACAACACCCGCACACACAACCACGAAAACCACAGCAGTCTCCAGACACTGCCAGACGTCCCCGGCAGGGCACAGAGCCCCCCAGTTTGGAGACTGACCCAGGCCGGCTGAGCGCACGCCTTGACAGCTCTGCCCTGCGATCTCCCGGTCTAGTGACCTCTGCGGTCCTTCTTGCTCCCTGTCAGAGCCGGACAGCGAGGTCTGTGACTGCCTTATCAACAGGCAGATCCCGCTCGCACTGCCCCGGTGTTACCACCCGGGGTGGCTTTGTCTGCCTCTCACTAGACAGGAAAAAAGTGGAAAAGCAAAACAGGAAACTGCAGCTGGCAGCTTTGCGGAGCGGGACGCGTTGCAGAGGCCCCGCCTGTAACCCTGTGGCTCTCTCTCATCTTCCTCCCCACAGAGCCAAGGTGAAGAAGGGGGTGAACATCCTGAGTGCTCAGACCCGCGAGCCCCCGCAGTGGGGCGTCAAGCAGGAGGTGGGCAGCGGCGGAAAGCACGTGACGGCCACCGTGGCCTGCCAGCGCCTGGGGTCCAGCGCGCGCAACAGGTAAGCGGTGCCCTCCCTGCAAGCATGTGTGGTTCCTGGTGCCAGGCCCAGGCTGGCTGCTGCCTTGACTTGAACTTGCACGAGCCCCTGCTCAGAGGAGCTACTGAACCCACGGCCCGGAAATCTAGAGGCACTGACACCCACTGCAGGACCCTCTGCCTCTGCGGCAGGGTGGGGGGTGCTCGCTCTGCAGCGCTGACGGTGGGCTTTGGAGCAGAGTGAGGTCATCTCTGCTCTGATAGGGCTTGTGCGTTCTCCACACCTGAACCGACTTTCTGGGGGCTTTGCCCTCCCTTGATTATCAGAAGATGCTTAGTTACAAAGTGCTCATTTTTTATGAAGGCTAAGATTGAGTCTTCAGTGAAAAGGAATTTAAGGGAAGAGGGTAACAGTCAGTGGCAATAATGGAGAAGAACCTGCTATGTGAGACTCACTATGGACATTCTGGATGATTTTTTTTTAATAATTTTTTTCTGGTTATAAAAGCAATTCATACTCATTTTACAATATGAGGAAAACACAGTTATATGAGGAGGAAAATCATACGCAGATATCCTTACTACTCAAGGATAACCCACCGATAGCATGTTTCTTCATTTCCTTCCAGGGTTTTATAGCTATGTAAAGCTAATATATACTAAATCTGTTTATTTTACAAATTTGGTATCATCAAATATGCACACATTTTAAGGACACTACTATTTTTGCTGATATTGGAAACATTTTCTCTTGACATTAAATATTCCTCAAAAACATTTTTAATAACTTTCTAATATTCCATGAGATGGATTTAACATACTATTAACAACCATCCATGCCTGTCTTTTTTACCATTTAGGCCGATTCCAAGTTGTTTTTAAATTTCGACTCTTATTTTGGATTCGGGGGTATACGCACGGCTTTGATATGTGGGTGTGTTGCCTGATGCTGAGGTTTGGGGCGTGAATGACCCCATCACTCAAGTGGTGAGCAGAGTACTCAGCAGGTAGTTTTTCAGCCTTTGTTCCCTCCCCCTCTCCCCACTCTAGCAGCCCCCAGTCTCTGTTGTTCCCATCTTTCTGCCCCCATGTACCCCCTGGTTAGCTACCACTTACAAGTGAGAACATGCAGTATTTGGCTTTCTGTTCTTCCATTAATTTGCTTAGGATGATGGCCTCCAGCGGCATCCATGTGGCTGCAGAGGGTATGATTCTGTTCTTTCTTGTGCCTGTATAGTAGTCTATGGCGAATGTATACCAAACTCTCTGGATCCAGTTCGCTGTGGGTGGGTTGATTCCATGTCTTTGCTACTGTGAACGGTGCTGCAGTGAACACAGGAGTGCAGGTGCCGTTTTTGGTAGAACAGTGTGTTTCCTTTGGGTATACATCCAGTAATGGGATTGCTGGGTCAGACGGCAGCTCTGAGTTCTTTGAGAAATCTCCAAACTACTTTCCACGGCCACTGAACTAATTTACTTTGCTACACACAGTGTGTACGTGTTCCCTGTTCTCCACAACCTCTCCAGCATCTGTTATGTTTTTGACTTTTTAATAATCATCATTCTGACTGGAGTGAGATGGCATCTCATCATGGTTTTGATTTGCATTTCTCTGATGATTAGTAACGTGGAATACTGTTTTCATAAGTTTGCTGGCCACTCATATGTCCAGGATTTACTGTTATAGATAATGCAGCAGTAAACCACCTTCCACATAAATCTTTGCACACGTCTCTCTTTCCTTAAGGTGGCTTCTTAGATTCAAAAAGCGAGATCATTTTTCAAGGCTCTTGATATATTCTGCCAGTTTATTTTTCTGAAGGGATTAGTATTAAAGAAAGAAATCTTCTATTACTGGCCACGTTTTTTTAAGTGACAGCTGCAAGGCACCGTGAAAAGTCCTCAAAGTATCTGCTTGGTTTACAACCACACTGTTCTTTTGTCCAGAGAACCCCTCCTCTGTCCTTCCTTTAATGTGTAACCAGGAAAAGAAAATCTGGTGTCTCGAACAGTTTACAAACTGAAACACCACCCTCACCATCATTACCCCAAGAAGGATTTTTAGTGCATCTGGGAGATGAGGTCAGGGGCGAGGGTTGGGTGTCTGAATCTTTGAACTTGTGAAGAAATGGCCAGAAAGAAATGTTTCTGAGTCTCATGTTCCAAGCAGGAGATCAGAGGCCAAATTAAATCTCCTGAATCGAATACACAGAAAGTCTAATTAACCCATAAGATAAGTGTTGATTATGCAAATAAAAGTGAACGTGTTCATTAACAGGCGTCGAATTTATGTATGTGAATAATTCTTCAGGTGGGAACCGGAATGAGAATCAGAGCAAGGGAGATGAGCCTCATGATATGGAGTCGTGAAGGGCTCCTGTGGCAACCCTGCTTGTTCTGAGGCTCCCAGGAGCCCCGCTTCGACTCCAGCTGTGTTTGCTGTCTCAGTGGTAAACATTGTGCATGAGTTTTCACAGTCAGCCATCCTAAATGTTTCGGCAGACTGTGGACACGAGGAAGATCTGAATATGCAGAAATAGAGAGTAATGGCGTCTGAGGCACAGAAAGAGGCACTGCAGATGGTCGGGCCCAAGAACTGTGTTCAAAGAGGAGGGCAGGTGGTACATTGGGTGGAGCCACCATGCCCAGCCCCACTTTCACTTATAAGGGCCATTATGGTCATGCTGGCCCCACCTAGATAATCCCAGATCATCACCCATACCAAAACCCTCACTTAATCATATCTGCAAAGTCCCTTGGCCTTGTAAGGTAACATTTCATAGGTTCTAAGAATTAGGATGTAGAAGAATTGGGCTCCTGCTGTCTTCTTATAGCACGGCCCCTGTAATGTCCATTCAGTCCTGAGCCTTTGAAATGCTGGGTTTGGACACCTTAGGGTACTGAGGTCAGGCCAGTGAGTGCACCTTCCAAGATTACCAGGGTGGGGAATGACGTTCCTTCCCATGGAAGCTTTCCTGGTAGCCAGGGTGGTCTGATATCAAGACCTTTGTCAGGTACAGCACTGCCTTGGGCAATGGTGTCACCCTTCCTGGCTGGGTCAAGCGGAAGCAGACGGTGCCCGTCAGCGCTGTGCAGAGCATATTCTTGCTTCAAGGCCAGAGTTGCTCAGTCAAGTATCTGAAGCCGCATTGGCACCGATCCCCACCAAGGCCATGATTTTGGCTGCCAGCAGGAGCCTCTCCGCAGGAGTCTGAGAGCCTCTGCTGTCTGGGATGGCGTTCACAGGTGCAGAGAGTGGTTTGTTCCTTGGCTTTGGCTCTTGAAATATCCCCTGTGAGCTTTTGCAAGTGAGTGTCCGATTTAAGATGTGGAAGCTGGATCTGCAGCTTAAGATCTCGGCCACCTCCCTGTGTCAGCCACATCCCCTGGCTCGTAAAACAGAGCACCTGGGGACAGATAAATAGTTTTTAAAAAGTGAAACTGCTCAGCCCATGGAGTGGCTGCCACACAGAGGCTTCCCCAGGCAGGTCCAGAAAGGTGGTTCTGAAAGGTATGACCCCTTACCAGCCATTCCCATCCGTTGCTATTTCCTCAAGGCACAAACTCCAAACAGGCATACCAAGTCTAACTAAAAGTAGTGGTTTTGTAAACAAGCACAGTTTCAAAGCATGTCCCCTGGCCCTTACCCGCATGACTACATCACCCCGAATAATCTCCAAACACAGAATCCTTCCGTATTGGGAGATTTAGCAGGAGCTCAGCCATGACAGCTGATCTGAAAGCGGCAGGCAGTAGTGGTTAAATACGCCTGTTGTTGACGCCTCAAGGGTTCTGAAAGTCATTCTAGTCCATAAGTTTCAAACAGGACCATGAATGAGTACCAGGGGCCCCACTAAACCCTACAACTGCTTGAAAATATATGATGTGTGAGAGGCCGCGTCCAAGTGCCATTCTCTTTACACCAGTTTCATTTCTCTCTTCCAATTCCTTAACTCCTGTGAACTGGTCGTCCCTGAATTGAACTTGGTTGATCTACGTTTCTCATGCAAAAATAAGATTGTAGTGACATTTGCTGGGACACACAAAATCTCCGATTAGCCCTAGGCTCCGTTCCACCCTATTGCCTCGTAGCTGGCCTCTACGCTTGTGAATTAGCTACGTGGTCTGTGAAAGTGTTTTAGTATGAAAATCTGGTGTATCAGTCAGCTGTATAAGGACCTCGTGATCACATGGGCCCACTTAGATCATCTCCCATCGCAAGATCCTTTACCGACTCACATCTACCAATTCCCTTAGACTTATAAGATGACATATTCAGAGATTCTAGGGACCAGGGTGTGGACACATTGCCACAATCATGCCACATAAAAAACCACCAAAATCTCAGTGATTTCTGACTACAGTGGCCCTCCATATCCATGAGTTCTGCATCCACAGATTCTACCAACCACAAATGGAAAATATGTTTTAGTGGAAGGCTGCGCCTGTAATGCACATGTACAGACTTTTGTTTTCCTGTCATTATTCTCTAAACAATACGGTATAACAATAACTATTTACATAGCATTTACATTATACGAGGTATGAGAAATAATCTAGAGATGATTTAAAGTATATAGGAGGATGTGCATATATTATATGCAACTAGTACATTCTTTTATCTAAGGGACTTGAGCATCCATGGGTGTTGTTATCTGCAAAAGGTCCATGAGCCAATCTCCCTTGGGTAACAAGGGATGACTGTCCAAGCTTTGCTCTCCTGCCCCCAGGGCTGTAGGTCAAGTGCAGTCTGGGCTGGCCAAGGGGACGCTCAGGCGGGAGGCTGCCTCCAGGTGTGAGCTGGTCAGGCTTAGCTCCAAACTTTGAGCTGAGAGTCTGCCTGTCCATGTGTGTTTGGTCCTGGGCCCAGGGGCAGAGTTATTCTGGGCATGCTCTTCTCACAGCAGCTCATTATCCTCTCATCTAAGACCAAAACTGGTGTCCCATCCACTGACATCCCCTTGGCCAATGTGAGTCACTAGGCCAGGACGTGGGGTGAGGAAGTCCTCCCCACCCAGACGT